TCAGGCTTTTTGTTTGACATTGTTAACTCCCTGAAAGTATGGACTCAGAAATCACACAAACCCGATTCAAGTTTCACTACAACCTGCCTGAGTGAACTTAGTCAAGCTCCTTAGCCTCTTGATGTCTCAATTTTTTCATTTGTAAAATAATGTTAAGAGTAGAGCCCAGAGCCCAGAGCCCAGTTTACTGAGTGGTAAAGAGAACCAGATAAGATAATGTACATAAAGAACTCAGCACAGTGCTCCAATAATACTAATGACAATGATGATGATGATGATGATGATGACGATGATGATGATGATAACAATACTTAGAGGAATTGATATTTACCTTGAATGGGCTTTGGGTGAATTTGTTTTCAGCAAACTGATATGACACTTAACTTCACCAACTTTAACCTAGAGAATGTCACAGTACAGTTTCTTTCTCTTTCCTAGTTTTTCTACAGCAAGAACCATGCCTTCCTCATCTTTGTAGTTAACACAACTAGGTCTGTTCATAGAGCAGTTAATTTAGTAATACAGAATGGATGAATAACCAAATCCCTGAATCCTTGATCTCTATGCTTCTGTGCCTCACCTACAGCCAATGCCATCTTTTCCTGACATATCATTAGAAGTTTCCAAACCAGTTGCCCTTTCTCTAACTTCTTCCCACTACAGATCCATATACGGCCCTACTACCTAACAGAACTTAAGACGTATGTTCTGTTTGTATTATTACCATTAAAAACTCTTCATAGCATTCCATCAGCTACCATATAAATTACACCCTCCCGGCACAAGCTTTTATCAATACTGCTTTATAAGCAACATGATGGGTTTTGTTCGTTTGTTTTTGTTTGCTTATCAGTTTGAACTTGTTATCCTATCTTCTTGAAACATTACACTGATGCCAACTCATCTCTCATTTGATTCCATTTACCCAACTTGTATAAATCTTTTATTTTACAAAATATCTTTCATTACTTTTCTACCTCTTTTTTCAGTTTAGATGCTCCCTTCTCCATGCTTCTAGTATACCCTCCACTTGTCTTTTCATTTCACTCATCACATTTTTATTTCAACTTCAATGTCTCTCTTCTCCACCAGACAGTAAGCTACCTGGGCCAAAGCCAACCCATCCTATTTATCACACTTTCCCCAAAGTCCAGCAAAATGCCTAGCACTAAACAGAAACTAGTGCATGAGTTTATGAATGAATAAATAAATAGATGAATAAATGCCCACTGAGAGTATCAAAGACAATTTATATTTCACATTCTTGCAGACCTCTCAGAAAAATTTGACTCCTGCCCAGAGTCACTTCCTGGAAGAGATCCAGAGGGAGAGGCAGGGAGGGGAGCTGGTACTGCAGCCTCTTACAATTAGTCTAAAAAATTCCCTTGCATGGAATTCTTGGGATCACTCAGTTGTGGATTATTGTCCTGACAGTACCTACCAGTATATGGTTAGGTTGGAGACATTTGGGGTCAATACATCTCATGGAAAAGCAGTCCCCAGGCCTGAACAATTAATGTTCTAGTGATCTATTACTGTCTTCATATATACTTGTGACACTTGATTTGATTAGTGTTTCTTTTGACCTCATGATGAGCAAATTTATATTAGAAATAAAGCGACCTGACTTCCCTCTTCTTAGGGATTTCAGATCTGAGGTTGTGGCTCAATAACACAAGTAGAAAAAAAAAAAAAAAAAGGAAAAATGAGAGGCAACCAAAGGTATATTTTTAATATTGATAATAATAATGGTAGTAGTACTAACAATATGTGTAGAAGGAGCTCATATTTTTAAGCATATACTATGGATCATTCATTTTGCTAAATGCTTTATGTATATTATCTTAATTTTCACAACACCCTTATAAATGGTATTCTATTATTTTTCCCTACTGTAAGGTAAGTATACAGGTTTTAGGGATTAACACCAGCCAAATAGAACATTACATATGGCTAATAGGAACACAAATTGAGATCTCATTGCTTGGATATAAAGCCAGCACTTCCATGATGATTGGGGATAATGGCTCTAGGTCCAGATCCTAGTTATCCAGGACAAATAGTTTCATCTTTTGGCAGAATTACTTCACTTGCTTCATCTCCTTTGGAAGTCTGCAGACAAGTTAACAGAATGCAATTTCATACTGACTTCTTTTGCAAAAGTAGGTTTAGTCAGGATCTATGATATGCACTCCAAATTGGACAGATAACAACCATTTTACACAATAAGAACACTGAGTATGTTTACAAATAACTGTCTAATATCAACCTAGAAAGTATCATCTTGTCTCCACAAACCCACTGAGAACAGTTATATCCATCTAGATAAAAGTGCTTTATGTTAACACAAAAGGCAATAGTCTGTTCTTTAAAAGTATCCCTAGATACATCATCTTTTAAATGACTGTCAATATTCCTGGTATGTTGTAGATTTAATGCTACACTTAGGTTCTAAGCCTTGGAACAAAACTGGAGATCAAATCATTATAATGAGACCTTTCTGTTTTCTTTCAATAAAAACAAAACAAAACAAAAACCAACACAAAGCAAAACACTGTCTTAGCTACAATAAAGAGGTGCCTGACATTTTTAAGAACACGGCGCTTGCTTTTGGTTAATAGTGATTTCTGAAACCTTGAATGCTAATACATTTTTCCAAGATTTAAAAGAATTGCTTTAGCCACTTTTATTGGGGAATCTCAAAGCATGTAGGAACAATTTTCAGTGTTTGCAAAGACAAGAGAGTCACCATCATGCTAAATTAGGAGACCTGGATAATAATGGGTTGTTCTCTTACTTCCTTTGAAGGACATGAGTACAATAGATGGGTCTGAACCTGGATCTTCCCCAGGGTAAAATATTATTGGGAGCTCCTATTCCGTTTGGTACAGGCATGGAGGGCATTCAGAAAGCTAGAGTGTTTTCCAGGGTCCTCAGAAAGCATTAAGTCTTCAAGTCAAAAGCTGAACCAAGGTGATACTTGTGTTACTGTTTTTCTTTCTTTTTTTTTTTTTTTCACCCTTTAAAAATACTTAACACACACCAAGAAATTTGGTAACTTCCTTAAGTAGTTCATTTAATTTTAATTCTCCCATAAGTACATGAGATGAAATGACTTCCCTAGAGAGAGTGGTAGAGAAAGGATTTAAGCTCTGTTCCTATGAGTGCAGGTCCCCTAATCTTAGCTGCCATGCTCCTCAGTGTCCCGGATCAAGATGCATGAGGTCCACATCCTCGCCAACATCTATTGTTTCCTGACTTGTTAATTTTAGCCATTCTGACTGGTGTGAGGTGGTATCTCATTGAGCAGTATGGAGGTTCCTCAAAAAGTTGAAAATAGAGCTACCGTACAACCCAGCCATTGCACTATTGGGTATTTTCCCCAAAGATACAAAAGTAGGGATCCGAAGGGGCACGTGCACCCCGATGTTTATAGCAGCAATGTCCACAATAGCCAAACTATGGAAAGAGCCAAGATGTCCA